TTATAAGCTATTTCTTGAATATGAGTTTGCTGGGTGTTTACAAGAAACTGTCTCTACTGTTGTTTGTTAGATGCGCAGCTCAGTGATTTTCGGTACACCCACGAGGTTGTACAACAACGTCACCGTCTAATTCAAAACACTTTCATCACATTTCTTTAGAAACCCCCTCCACATTCATTCCCCTCCTGCTTCAGCTGTTGCAGCCACAGACCTGCTTTCTGCCCCTGTGGGTTTGCGTGTAATAGACATTTCATGTGAATGGGATCATTCTTACAGTATGTGATCTTTTGTGACCGGCTTCTTTCACTCAGCATGATGGGTTTGTTTTTTGTTCGCGTTTTTGTTTTTTGAGACAGAGTCTCGCTCTGTCGCCCAGGCTGGAGTGCTGTGGCACAACCTTGGCTCACTGCAACCTCCGCTTTCCGGGTTCAAGTGTGATTCTACTGCCTCAGTCTCCTGCAAAGCTGAGACTACAGGTGCCTGCTACCACGCCCGGCTAATTTTTATATTTTTAGGAGAGAAAGGGTTTCACCATGTTGGCCAGGCCGGTCTCGAACTCCTGACCTCAAGTGATCCACCTGCCTCGGCCTCCCAAAGTGCTGGGATGACAGTATGATGTTTTCAACGTTCATCCACACTGTGGCACATGTAAGTGCTTCATTCTTGTCCATGGCTGAAAACTTCCTCCATTACATAGATAGACCATATTTTGTCTAACCACTCAGCTGTTTTCCAAAGGGGCTGTGCCATTTTATATTCCCATAAGGAAGAAATGAGGATTCCAGTTCCTCCATGTCCTCCCCTTCCTCACCACAACTTGCTATTTTCTGTTTTTTTTTTGCGGGGGGGCGGGGGGCATTATTCTAATCATGCTAATCCATAAAATGGCATTTCCTTGTAACGTTCGGCATCCACTGACATTGCTGTTTGGAGTCTGTTCATGTGCTTATTCGCCATGTGTGTGTCTTCTCTGGAAAAATGTCTGTTCAAATCCATTTTCCATTTTTTCAGTAGCAGTTTTTTGTCTTTCTGTTGTTGGCCTGTAAGAATTCTTTCTATATTGCAGATACTACGTCCTTATCAGACACATGATTTGCAGATATTATTCCGTGGGCTTTCTCTTCACTTTCTTGGTGGTGTCCTGTGAAGCAGAGGGCCTTAAATGAGACGCAGCACAGTTCTGTTTTCTCTTTTGCTGCTCGTGCTTTAGGTGTCACGTCTAGAAAGCTGTGGCCGAGTCCAACGCCATGAAGATTTACTCTAACGTTTTCTCTTAAGAATTTTAAGCCCGGGCGTGGTGGCTCACACCTATAATCCCAGCACTTTGGGAGTCTGAGGTGGGCGCATCCCTTGAGCCCAGGAGTTCGAGACCAGCCTGGGCAACACGGTGAAACCCCATCTCTACTAAAAATACAAAAATTAGCCAGGCATGGTGGTGTGCAGCTGTGGTCCCAGCTACTCGGGAGGCTGAGATGGGAGGCTCACCTGAGCCCCGGGAATCGAAGCTGCAGTGAGCCATGATTACACCACTGCACTCCAGCCTGGGTGACAGAGTGAGAAAGCATCTAAAAAAAAAAAAAAAAAGACAGAAATTTAGAGTTTTAGCTCTGACATTTAGATATTTAATTCATTTCAACTTAATTTTCGTATGTGGTATAAGGTGAGTTTAGCTTCATCCTTTTGCACGTGTGTCTCTGCTTTTCCAGCAGCGTTTGTGGAAAAGACTATTCCTACCTTGTCGGTGGTCTTGGCACTTGCTGAGAGTCCATCGCCTGTAAGCGTGTGGGTTATTTCCGGACTCGGTTTCGTCTGTATGTCGGTCCTAAGCTGGCGCCACAGTCTGCATTACCGTTCTTTTGTGCCAAATTTCAAATCACAAGTGTGAGTCCTCCAACTTGTTTTTTTTTTTTCTTCTTCTTTTGGCTATTCTGGGTCCCTCGAATCATTTCCATATTAATTTTAGGATCAGGTTGTCAATTTCTGCAAGGAAAAAAGGCAGCTGACACTTCCGTGTGGATTGTGCTGAATGCGTGGATGGATCTGGGGAGTTGCGGCTTCTCAACGATACTGTCTTCCTGTCTGTGAACACGAGACGTCCTCCCATTTACGTGGGTCCTCTAATATTTTTCAGCAATGTTTTCTTGTTTTCAGCGTATGATTCTTGTACTTCTTTTGTTAAATTTATTCCAAGTATTTTAATTTTTTTATGCTATTGCAAAGGACTAAGGATTGTTTCCTTAATTTCACTTTCAGTTTATTGCTGCCATATCTACACACAAGTGATTTTTTAAAGCCTTTATTGATATGTAGCATACATACCACAAAATTCACCTTCCTACAGCACACAGTTCCGTGGTTTTTGGTAATAACACCCCCAGCCTTCTGCGTCGGGCGCTATGCCAATCCGGCCTTCTGCCATGCATTTGCTGCCCCTGTTCCCTTTCCTCTGCTCTCCCTGCCCCAATTCTTTTTTTTGTATTTTAAATTTTTGTAAAATATATGTAGCATGAAGTTCACTATTCAGCCCTTCCTAAGGGTACAGTTTCATGGCACTGAACACACTCAGTGCTGTGCAACCGCCACCAGCGTCCTCCTCTTCCCCAGCTGAAACCTTTCCCCATCACCCCCTCCGTCCACGCTCCCTGACCTCTGCCCACCCTGGCGCCCAGCGTCCTACTTTGCATCTCTATGAACATGATGGCTCTCAGGACCTGGTGTCGGGGACTCGGGCAGGATCCATCCTCTGGTAACTAGGTCATTTCACTCAGCATGATGTTGCCAACATCCAACCATGCCGTAGCCTGGATCTGGATTTCCTTCCTTTTTAATGCTGAATAATATTCTACTGAATGATGGACCACATTGGGCTTATCCACACCTCTGCCAGCAGACACTTGGCTTGCTGCCGTCTCTCGGCTTCTATGAACATGGGTGTGCAGTATCTGTCTGAGCCCAGCTTTAGTTCCTTTGGTTAAGGCTGTGATGAGGCTGGGGGTACTGAGTGGAAGCTGACATCCTGGACAGTAAAGGCCCCTCCCTCATTCAGCTCCCAGGGCAGAGGGCAGCAAGGTCCACACCCCCAAGCTGAAGGCCAGGGGCTTCATTTGTGGATCCTGCACCACCCGGGAGGGGAGAGCCACAGAGCATCGTCGGGGTCCCAGCAGAGGATCTGATCCCAGGGGCCCAGGGCCCCCAAGCCTCCCACCGTGGCCCCACGTTCCAGTGAATATTCAGCTTGTTAGCATGTCGCCGTGAGGGAGGGAGCCCCGTGCAACTCTGGGGCCTCTTCCAGCCTCCTACCTATCCTCTGCTGCAGCCTGCTGCCCTGAATTCTCACGTGCGTCATGCCACTGTGCTTCTGCAGGGTTGATGTCATGAGGCTGTGTCCCTAAATTAGATACCAGGCAGTTCTGCATGTTTCCCTCGGTGTGAAAGGACTCACGCCACGTGTGACTCACTCGCGTTGGCGGGGCCGTGGCAGGCTCACCTCCACCTCTGTGGCCTCTGCCGGTAAGTGATTAGATCACGGTCGATCTTCCATCACGTTGGTCCCAGACTTGGGACCCTGTCCAGCATTTCACTGGAGCAGCGCTGACTCTAAGATCTCACGTCTCTGCAGACAGACGCAGACCCGTGTCTCCAGCGTGTGCTGGCAACAGAGGCCACCGGGCTGTGGAGTGTGGACAGCCCTGCTTTTACCGAAATGGTGCGAACATTTCTTCCGAAGTGGTTGCACCGGTTGACACTCCCACCAGCAAGGCGAAGGTTCCGGTTGTTCCACCCACCCTTCCTCCTTTCCGACAGGAGGATCCCCGAACATTCGGGCAAGGCTCGGCGTGAGACACGGCCAAGTAAAGGAGCCAAGCCCTCCAAAAGAGGCCACGCGGGACACCAGTGGCAACTGAAAAAAATGATCATGAATATTTCTAGGCAGAGAAAAGATTTTGCATCCATGAAACAACAGTAACAGCAGTAAATTAAAAACCTGATAGCAGAAATTTAAAAGTCAAGAGTAAACTTAGAAGAACAAGTTGGCGGAAATTTCCCAGAAAATGGAACAAAAGATATAATAGAAGATAAATTAAAATGAGAGGGGTCAGGGTGCACCCCTAGAGTTGGGCAAGGTGAACAGGCCTTCGTACAGGCCCAGCTGTGAACGACACATAGGGTCACCGGGGAACCCCTGAACAGCAGATCTGGTCAAAGCTGAGGATGCAGCTGTGGGAAGGTGGAGATGGGAAGTGTGGGTGGGGGCGGGGGATCCTGTGTTCGTTTCTTGAGGCTGCTGTCACCGGCCTAAGCCCTAGAAACTGTCTCACAGACTGGAGGCCAGAAATCCAGACTCCGGCAGAGCCTCACGCCGCACACCTCTCCCAGCTTCTGGGGGTTCCAGGTGTTCTTGGCTTGGGGCCGCATCTCCAGTCTCAGCCTCGTGTCCACGTGGGCTCTCCGCCCATCTGTGTCTGTGTCCTTGTCTGCCTCTCATAAGGACTATTGTCACTGGACTTAGGGCCTGTCCGGCTTACTCAGGACAACCTCTTCCTCTCCAGATGCTTCACCTAGTGACAGCTGCCGAGGCCCTCTTTCCAAATGAGGTCAGGTTCACAGGTTCCAGGAGCTAGGGTGGGGGCTGCCTGACAGGCCGTTAGAAAAGGCATGCAAGGTGAGCTGACGCTTCCGTCGGGGAAGTGGGTGGATATTAAGCCAGGAGCGCGGCCTCAGTGGGTGAGTCACCACCAGTGTCAATTCCAGGAGGCCCAGCAGAAATCAGAGGCCCAGAACAGGGCTGGGACTGGCTGAGAGCCCTGTTGCACCACCTGGCTTACGTGATGAGGATGTTTTAGGTTAAGTGATAGGAAAGTTGTGTATCTGGGCCACAGACCCACACCTGTGGGGTGGGCATCTGCGACGACACAGACTTTTGCCTTGACCAGTGACCTTCCGGCTCCACAGCCCCTCCCTGTACCCCACCCACACACCCTGTCTCCTTCTCCACGCAGCAGCTCCGCGGCTGGGTCTTGCTCCTCAGACAAGACGGGGCCAGAGGCGGCCCCAGCAGCCACGCCCGTCGCCCCACAGGCCACGAGAGAGAAGATCCGGTCCAGGTTCCATGGCAGCCACGACCTTATTCACCGCCTGTTCGTCTGCATTTCAGGTGCCCTCTTGGGGCCTGGGACGGGCGCATGGCTTGAGGGCACATGGGCTGCACTTTAGTGGAGGTCAGGCGGGGCGTGTATAGCCTCCCCATCACCTTCTTGGAAACGGCAGCCTGCTCTGCCGCTTAGGAGCAAGCACTCCTCCTCATGGAGAAGGCTGGACTGACCTCACACAGGCGGGAAGAGCGGGAGGGGTCTGCAGGTGAGGTAGGGGGGCATTTTCCTCCAGGGAGTGGCGGCGGGGGCAATGGGGTTTGGGGGCAGGAGAGCCAGGGCTGGTACCACCGCTGGGCAGGGTCCACCCTGGGCTCTCAGCCACATAGGCTGTTGGGGGCTGTTCCTGCAGTGGGGGTGGGGGCACGCTTTGCAGGTAGACACATCTGGATGCCTGAGGGGCTGTGTCATTCTGGGTGTGGGCACAGTACAGGAGCTCTGTGAGTGTCCCTCAGCACATGGCCGGGCCAGCTCGGCAGTGAGGGCTGTGGCCTGTGCATAAAAGTTGTGAATGTCAGTGGCAGACAGACTGTGGCAGGGGTGTCTGTGTGGTCCTCTCCCTTCCCCTGCTCTTTCTCAACTCCCAAGTTTTTATTCCTCTCAAGGGAATCCTCCCCCAAGGGGATGGGCCTCCTCCTTCCCTTACTGATCTGAGAACATGCTGGTCTCAGCTGTGAGCTCTGGCAGGGTCGGCCCAGCCCACAGCACCGACCTCCGAAGTTCCTTCCATCCGTCCTTCTGTCTGTTACCGTGGTCTTCCTCCCTCAGGTGTGGCTGACCAGCTGCAAACAAACTATGCCAGTGACCTGAGAAGTATTCTCAAAACGCTGTTTGAGGTCATGGCCACCAAGCCAGAAGCAGATGACAAGGACAAGTTAAGGAAGGGTGAGTGCCCACTCAGGACAGGCTCTGTGGCTGCACTGATGGCTGTGTCCCTGCCCACAGAAATCCTCATCTTCCAGCCCTGGGCAAATAGGGCCCTACCAAGCAATCATGGACCCCAGGATTCACAAGACCTCCACACTCCACATGTGCCAGGCTGCCCTGCCTGCTGGGGAGCCAAGGGGCAGAGCAGTAGGCCCAGGAAGTGCCCATACAGGCTACCTGCCCGGGAAGTGGCTCCACCCCTGCAAACCAGCAGATGGGCCAGGGCCTCTGGGTGATGCCCACAGCTTTGGCTCCTGTCCGCTGGCCATGCAGCAGCAAGGTGACCTCACTTCTGGCTCTGATGGAGGCTGGGAGTGTCCACACCCTCCCTCTTAAGGATGAGACTCGGCCGTGGTGCAGCATCCCTTCCACTGAGTGCCACCTCTCAGAGCAGTGGGAGGCAGCCGACCCTGAACTCCCCTCCCTATGAGGGTAGCAGAGTCTGCTGCTGCCCATGAGCTGCTGAGGTGTCACACACGGTCGGCACAGGACAAGCACACAGGCACACTCTCACAGCCATCTCACACACAGGCACATGCATACACACATGCACACACGGTCTCATGCATACCCACCCCCGCACGCACATGTACACACACACACACACATGCTCTCATGCATACCCATACCCACATTCACACATAAGCACACACATGCACACAGGTTCTCATGCATACCCACACCCGCACACACACATGCACACACACATGTGTTCTTATGCATACCCACACCCACATTCACACATAAGCACACACATGTACATGTTCTCATATATACCCCCACAGACGTGCACACACACCCACATGCACGCACGTTCTCGTGCATACCCACACCTGCACACAAATGCACATACATGCAAACAGATTCTCATGCATACCCACACCCGCACGCACATACACATGCATGTACATTCTCATGCATACCAACACCCGCACACACGTACACACACATGCACACACATTCTCATGCATACCCACACGCACACGTGCACACACACATACATGCATGTTCTCATGTATACCCACGCCCTCACACACCTGTGCACACATACAAGCACGTTCTCATGCATACCCACACCCTCACACACACGTGCACAAACATACATGCACACATGTTCTCATGCTTACCTGCACCCATGCACACAGGTGCACACACACACACACACACACACACGTTCTCATGCATACCCACACCCACACGCACACACATGCACACACACACGCACATGTTCTCATGCTTATCCACACCCATGCACATGTGCACACACACATGCACACATTCTTTTGCATACCCACACCCACGCACACACATGCATACTCACAGCTGCACACACACATGCACACACATGCACACACATATCCTTGCATGCCCACACACACACACACACACATGCACACACACATGCACGAATGTTCTCATTCTTACCCACAGCCATGCGTACATGCACACACACATGCACGCATGTTCTCATGCATACCCACACCCGCACACAGATGCATAGACACACGTGCACGCACATTCTCATACTTACCCACACCCATGCACACACACATGCATGCACGTTCTTATACTTATCCACACCCATGCACATGTGCACACACACATGCACACACGTTCTCATGCATACCCACACACACACGTGCACACACACATGCATGCATGCTTTCATGTGTGCCCACACCCATGTACACATACACATGCACACATGTACTTATGCTTCCTCACACCTGCACACACATGCACACACATACGCTCAGCATGTGAACATACGCTCTCACTCACACATGCACCTACATTATCTTGAAGGGAAAACATCAGGGCAGGGACTGGTTAGGCACAGGGAGTCTGGCCCTTGGTTCCGGTAGGATCCAGGGCGGGATAGGGGGCTCAGCCCCTGCTCGCCACCCCTGGTGCCCTGGTGCTAAGCTGAGGCACCTCTTCTGGCAAAGTCACCCCTTGCCACAGGGGTTCCTGCTCATGGAGTGTCCAGGCACACGGGGCAGCCTGCCTGGTCCCGGAGCCCTGGCCCAACAGGGAGGAGGCCATGTGCTGACCCAGCTCTGCCCTGCAGAATCCACACCGCCAGGCAGCATTCCACCAGGGAAGTTGGCAGGGCTGCTTTCTGGAAATCGTGATTCAGAGACAGCAGGTGACGTGGCTCTGCTCTGCACACAGAGGCTGTGAGCTGGGGTCCTGGCCACACACGGGCCATGCAGGGCCCCAGGGCTGGATGCCTCTGTTGGGGGCAGCAGCCACAGGCTTCTGGGCCCCCATGTTGTGCAAAGGAGAGGCCCTTGCCCAGGAAGAGTCCCAGCCAGGATCAGTGCCCAACATTTTGTGGTGCCACCTGCCATAAGACTGCCAGGGGCTTGGGGAGCTGACCCACGGCTGGAAGCCCCCAGCTGTGCCCAGCAGGTGCAGGTGACCCTGCATCAGTTGCCTGTACCCCTCACCATACCTGACAGCCCCCTTTTCTCCATCAGTCACCCAGACTCTGCGGAGTGCAGCCTTGGAGGACTGTGCACTGTGCCAGGAGACTCTGTCGTCCTCGGAACTGGCAGCCAAGACCCGCGATGGGGACTTTGAAGGTGTGTAGGAGGCTCTGGCCTGGGACCTGCACCAGAAACCAGTGGGGGCCGTGGGAGCCAGCCTTCCTCCTGGGGGAGGGGCTGCAGGCCACCCAGTCCAGGTGTGAGGGAGCTGGAGACCGTCCCCGGGAGGCTGGCTGGAGGTCGGGCAGCTTGGAAGTCTGGGATGGGAAGGAGGGCCCAGGGCAGGTTGAGGGTGCCGGCCCAGCCTACCTGCCCCTGCCGTTGCTGATGTGAAGCTGCTGTTGTTGTGACAGAGCCCCCTGAGTGGGTGCCAGACGAGGCCTGTGGCTTCTGCACGGCGTGCAAGGCACCCTTCACCGTCATCCGCCGGAAGCACCACTGCCGCAGCTGCGGGAAGGTGGGTGGGACACCCCCGTGCACAGAGGGTCCCCCAGCACTCAAGGGTGACCGTGGACACAGCTTGAGGTCTGGCAGTTGGGACCAATGCCCAGGGAGGCTGGAGAGGCCCGTGGGATCTTGTGCAGAGCCCCTGGAGTTCCTGGGCCCTGCTCTGACTCCAGGCATTTGGCCATGGGACCTGGATGGTGCCCAGGTCCAGCCCCAGGGAGGGAACAGCGGGTGAGAACTGGAGCCTGCAGCAGCCTTGGGGCAGGATGTGGACCCCTCATGGAGTGCAGCCGCCTCAAGGTCCCAGCACCACAGCCCCATCACCCAGGGCCGAGCGGTCCCCACCCACCAATGCATCCTGAGCTGGGTGGGTGGGCATGTGGGAGGGCGAGGAGCCAGGGTGGGTGGGGCCGGCCTGCTACGGACCCTCACTGCCCCAACCCCCTTCCAGATCTTCTGCTCCCGCTGCTCCTCACACTCAGCGCCGCTGCCCCGCTACGGGCAGGTGAAGCCGGTCCGAGTGTGCACCCATTGCTACGTGTTCCACGTCACACCCTTCTACAGCGACAAGGCCGGCCTGTGACGCAGCGCCAGGGGCAGCCCAAACCCGCCCTGGGCCAGGAACCTCCAGGAAGGAGGGGCAGTGCTGCAGGCGGGTCTCACAGCGTCTCATGAGCCCCCGCCACTCCAGGGCTGCCCAGACCTCTAGAGTATCCAGAGCCTCTGTCTCGCCCACCCTGCCTCCCCGCAGGGACCCCAGCCGGCTGCAGGGGCTGACAGGAGGTCAGCTTTGCCCAGCAGTGGACCCGGAGGAGCCTGGTGGCTTGCCCAGGGCAGGGTGCCTGGCGGGGAAGGCACGTCGGAGCTCTTCGGGGGCTGTGGGAATCGGGGTGGGTGCTGGAGGTGGGCGGGAGTGGGGCCGCTCCGCTGCCTCTGCTGTGGTGGTGAATCTGGAAGCCGGAGTGAGGGCCACTCTGCAGGCTCTGCGGTGCAGCAGGACTCCCCACGTGCCTCCCAAACCCAAAATGCAGGCGGCCCATTCTCCCCCACAGCGGCCCACCTCGTTCCCCAGCCCTCGCCCCGCCACCCCCATCCTTCCTCAGGACGTGGCTAAACAACATGCATCTCATTCCTTCTTGGAGCGGGGACAGGCGGGAAGCTGACCCAGCGGTCCTCTAGGGAGGCAGGGTGCTCCCTCCTGCTGATGGCGTGGGGGTCTGACCAGGCGCTGACGCCATAGGCAGAGGTTGCTGGGGGCCTTGGGTCGGGCTTACCAATCAGCCAGGACGCCCGGGGCCACCAGCGTGGCCACCACCTCTCCTTCCCTCTGCCCCCCCGGGAACCCTGCCCATTCCTCACACCCCAGAGCGGCCTGGGACCCAGGCTGCCGCAGCCGAGTGGCCCAGCAGACACCTCCTCAGGCTTAAATCTCAGGCTTCACGTTGTAATGACGATTGCAGTTTTATTTTTGGAGATGACACACCTACTGCTTCTTTTCTAGGATAAACCTGATTACTATTTACTGGTGGAGTGCACATGCTAGAAGTGGCTTCTGGCAGGGGAGTATATAATGGAAGAAATATTATGTATCGAGATTATATTTATTTTCTAAATGCTGTAATTCGAAGCCATTTCCATAAATCTATTGAAGAATTGCAGACACTCTCCTTTCTTCCGTGAACGCGGGTCCCTTTTCTCTGCCTGGAAGGCGATGCGGTTGGTGCCAACACGAATTCTCCTCTAGGAAGCTGGAGGCTTCTGGACTCTTGGGACAATTAAAGGGCAGGACTTGACTCCCACCAGCCCCCAGGAGTGGTGGCCACCCCCTGCCTCCTGCTGGCCCCTTCTCACCTTCCAGGGCTCTGCCCCCACAATGCCTGTCCCCGCCTTCCCACCCACCTGCCTGGGCATCTTCAGCTCAGCCCCTAGCCTGTGGGGGGCAGGTCTAAGTGCTCGTGGCCACCCCAGCTTGGGGCCCGTCCCACCTCGTGGCCCTGGTCATAGCACTGTGCTGCTCGCACTCAGAGCATCTGCCTTCTGGAGTGTCCCAGAGAGAAGGCAGGAGGGCGGCTGCAGACTGGGTTGCCTTGACGATGGGCCTGTGCCATGGGACTCGGGTGCCCTGTCCTTTGGAGGTGGGCACTGGTGGGTGGGCAGATACTTGGGACGCTTTATTTCTGGCAAGGGAGAAAGTGTGTTGGAATGTGGAGCCTCATCTGAGCAGGGCTGTTATTTGGGAGCAGAGAATAAGGGACATCCAGGGGACTCTGAGCTGGCCTGCCCGCCCCACGCCCACCCCGGTGGACAGCCATGTTGCATGGAGCTGCGCCACACCCCTTGCCTGCTCCTGGGCACCTATGCTGGCCGCTTCCAGGCCCAGGCACGGAGTCCTCCTCGTCCACCAGGTCAGCGGTGGCAGAGTGAGCGGAGACCAGGAAGAAAAGTCTTCCCCCCAGAGGTCTGGATGTGGCCTGTGCCCCGGCAGCCCTCTAGGCCAGCCCTGGCTGCCTTGTGCAGGGGGAAGCAGAGAGGGCAGCCTTCTCCAAGAGCTGCCCTGCAGGAAAGCCTGGGGCCGCAGGAGCCCCCCAGCAAGGGTGACCAACTGTCTTGTTCCCCCAGGAATGAAAGGTTTCCTGAGCTGCAGGACTTCCATACTAAAGGCAGGACATGTGGCCACTCTACCCATCTATGGGGCTATGCCCACCCCAAAGGCAAAGCCAGGACCTGGGGGCAAGAAAGACCGGGCCAAGGCAGAACCAGCTCTGGAAGGCTCTAGAAAGGAGGGCCTGTTGCCTGCCCAGAGATGGGGCTGAGGACCGCAGTCTCTGTGCTGGGGGCAGGAGAGTGCCATGGGCCAGCTCCTGTGAGTTCAGTTTCTCCACCGCTACCATCATTGCCGTCATTTCCTGAGCAGGCCTGTCTACTCCCACAACAGCCCCTCGAGGGAGCAGCATCCCTGTGTTGTAGATGGGGAAACTGAGGCTCGAGGAGGTCTGTAAGTGACAGAACTGGGTTGTGGGCATCTAGGAGGGTCTCCAAGAGGCAGACACAGAAGTGTCCTCTGATGGGAGGCATTCCAGGAAGCATGGGCCATGGCCAATGGTGGCTGGGTGGTGCCTAGGGGCCACTTCCAGGGACGGTGCTGTGGAGGCAGGGGTTTGCCCAGCCCTGAGCACCGGGTTCCTGGTCCCAGCAGCTGGCAAAAGGCTGAGGCTGCCTGGGCCAGGCCTCCTTGCACTGCCTGGGGCTCAGGAGGAAGCTCTGGGGCAGACAGACCATCGCCATACCTGATCTTGGGAGTGCAGTACCCCATCCGGCCCTGTCCGCTGCAGCCTGAGGCATCTCCCGAGGTCCCCACCAGCCGTACTGTGGTGGGTTCCCTGTGGCTCATCTGTACCTCGGCCCTTCCTCAGGCAGGAAGCTCCCCACCCACCCGCACTGGCTGTGCTGGTTCCTGGGCTGAGCCGGGGTAAGGAGGCCGTGAGCAAAGGGGCAGGTGGCTCAGGGGAGGCCTGGGGTGAGACCGCAGGAAGGCTCAGAAGATGGTGCGCATCCTTGCTGGGATGAAGTGAGGGGCCAGGGAGCAGGTCTGAGGCAGGGACTGTCCCCTCCCCTCTTGCGGCCCAGCCCACCTCTCCCATCCCCACTCATCCTCCCACCACTGCCCCTAATGGCCACCAGGGTCACCCTACTCCACCGCCTCCTCGAAGCAGCACAGCCTGAGGTCCTGCCTGTGTTGGGGTCACCCCACTGTGGCAAGGCACCCTAAGTCTGGACAGAGCCCCCAGCGCAGCCTGACCCAGTGGCCAGGCCTAGTCCTCAGGGTCCTACACCTGGGAGGAGGCTCCAAAGAGCTGGACCCCCCTGGCTGGCACAGCAATGACCATGGGCAGGACAGACCATACCCCCAGTGGTCCTGGTTGGAGTTGGATGCCTGTGCCACCAAGCTGAGGCGGGGAGCTGGCAGAACCCTGGAGAGGCAGCTTTGTGGCATCTGTGCACTGATGCCTCCACCAGCGCCCAACCCCTGCTCTTCCTGCCCTCTAGACTCTGCAGTGGGAGCTCAGGGGAAACAGGCAGGCCTCAAAGTGCCCACCCATATCACCCCCATGCCCCAGAGTCCTGGAGGTGCTCCCAGGCCCCACACACCTACCTCCTCCAGGAAGCCTGCCCAGATAGCAGCACCCCTACCATTCATGAGAGGAGGACCTGCTCTTTGACCCCAGGCCTCAGGGAAGGGGCTCCCAGAACAGCAGCAGGGCCAGGCAGGGCCTGTCCAGCTTCAGAGGTTCTAGGCCTCCCAATTTTGGAGGCCACCCCCCAACACCGCAGCAAGTGTCTTGAATCTGCCCCCACATCCCTCCTGCATAAACTTGGCTTTCTCTTGAAAAAGTTTTTGAAAGGAAATTTTACTCTTTTGCTTTTGGACATTTGGGGCCATAGGAAATTCATTTAATTTACAGTTGTCTGAGTTGTCTGGGGGTCATCAGCATGCTGGGAAAACCTGGTAAAACGAAAAAAAAATCAGCCCCACCAATTATTCACAAATGGAATGACCTTATTTTAAATTTAAAAATAACACTGACATTATGTTAGGTTATGTAAACATTTAATTACATCTCCATGCAATTTGATTGTGCCATCTTCTTTTTTGTATTCTGGAAACAATGTTTTCCTGAGTGTCAAACTTTTTGGAATGCTCCCAAGAGGCCTGGCCTGGTGCCTGTGGCTGGCCGGCCCGGTTAGCCGAAGCTCCACCCAGGTTCTGAGCGAGACTCTGCTACTGACCGGCTGAGACTGGGCAGGCCCTGTCTCCCCTAAGCCCTGGCTCTCTGTGGGCAGGGCTGAGGGGTTGGAGGCTGTTGCTGATTTGGAGCTGATGTTCATATTCCTGGTACTTCCTGGGCACCCTTTAGTGCCCGGCCCGCTGCTGCCCAGGGCTTTGCATGACATGTCCCAACCACCCAAGAGGCAAGTACCATCGCCCCCATTTTATAGACCAGGAAACAGGCTCGGGGAAGTTAAGTGACTTGGGACTAGAATCCAGGGTGGCTTCAAGGGAGAGGGCCCAGAGGACCCCCCCTGGTGCCAGCATACAACCAGGCCTCTTGCTGCAGAGGGGCCAAGGCCTCGGGGGATTGGGCACATGCTGAGTGGGTCGCTGCTCTCCATCCCTGACCTGGGCCCCCCCACAGACCAAAATCTGCCAGAATGCTGGGGCAGGGGACCTGGGGGCTGCAGGCAGTCCACCCAGTAACAGGAGGCCCAAGGGGGGAGGCCCCCAGTGTCAGAGGCCAGGTTGGGGGGATCAGGGTCAGCCTGGAAGTGTGGGAAGAGGCTCTGCCGCTGCCGGCGCCTGGCCAAGCTTCCCTCCCTGGTGTGTACAGGGTGCTCCCTGAGGCCGTGCTGAGGCTTACACACCCCGAGAAGCCATGCGTGGTGGCCATGAGGAGTTTGTGGCTCTGAGGCCTAGTGGGTACAGGAAGGCTGGGAAACTGACTTCTGGAGGCTTCTTTGGCGCCAACCTTAGATACTCCCACGGATCCAGGGGGTGGGGAATCAGTGGGTGGCCTTTCCCAAGCCAAACTGAGAATCCTTTATTCTGTCCTGCACATGTCCCAAGAGGCAGCACCATCAGCCCTGTTCACAGCCAGGGAAGCTGAGGCTGGGGCAGGCTGGCGTAAGACAACTCAGGAAATCCAGGCAGCAGAAGACAAGCCCGCCCTGGCCATCCACCCAAAACCAGGGAAGCCCTTCTGCATTCAGGCCCTATCCCTTCCTTGGGAGCCCCTGTCTGGAGTGGACTGGGAGGGCTGTCATGAGGGAAAGGAGACAGTGAGGGCGAAGGACCCAGGGAGAATGCAAGGGGGTGGGGCTCAGAGGATGAGGCAGGAAGGGGGTGACTCCTGGGGGCCAAGGAGTGGGATAGAGAGGTCCTCCCAGAGTAGGGTGGGGGGACTGGACTCCCCAGGGAAACAGGCTGAAGATTCTGCCCCCTCCCTCTTGGCCTTCACTGGTGTGGTGCCCATTGGACAGGTCCTGGCTCTGGAGAAGGGCAGGGCTAGGCAGGAGCCTCCCTCAGCAGGTTGAGCCCATGGAGGGCTCCCTGGAGATGCCACGCCCTACAGTGGACCTGCCATAACGAAGGGGGCGTGGCCATGCCCTGCCGGGGCTTGGGTCCAACTGGCTGACCAGAGCCACGTCCTCCTCACCCCTCAACTGCCCTGGGACTCCGTGGGCATTGGTGCCTGCCAGCACTGATCTGAGGTGCCTCTGCCCTTCTTGGTAGGGACAAGTTGAGACCCATGGGTGTAGAGACCCTGCCAGCCACAGGAGGGACCAGCACCCTCATCCCCCAGGGGCTCCAGACCTCTCCTGGCAGGGCTCCAGGCCCACCTGAGCCATCTGGGCCAGGGCAACTCACCTCCAGGCCTCACCTGGCTGCTCCCTCCCCTTCCTCTCCTCCTGCCCCTGCTGGCTGATGCCTCCAGCACCCCCTCCCTGGCTGCACCTCAGCCCCTGGTCATCCACTGCCTCCCGAACCTTCTCCTCCCCACCCCCACTCCTTCCTGCTCCCCCAGGCAGTGGTGCCCACACTCCCAGGCAAGGTTGAACCCACCCCCACTCCTTCCTGCTCCCCCAGGCAGTGGTGCCCACA